TTGCCAAAAACGCTTCTACTTACGCTAAAAAACAATGCAAATGCACGAAATAACACCCACATATACAAAATAAAAAAACGTGTAGAGAAAAATTACAGAATTAGTACACCTTGTAAATTACTGCTCTGCTGTGCATCACTTCACGCACTCGTTCCTTCGACATCTCGATTCCACCACCCCCTAATTTACGTCCTCCGCCATGCTTAATCTAACTCCAGCCGCCATTTGTATGTCCTTGAATTGTTTGTCGTTGAGTCTGTAAAAGTATAAAAAATAAAGTAGGTAAAATTCACAAAATAAATGAAACCGAATCGAAAGTGCACAAAAATACAAACATGAAATTGAGAAAAAAGTAAAATAAAATGCAAGCTCACGCACTCCGCCTCATTCAAACACGTGTCATCATTGCATGGCCTGCCTTTTATTATTCACTCGTTCCACGTGAGCACAATTACAGTTAATAAATAGGCAAAAAAAATAATGTGCTGTTGCCTGGAATCGAACCAGGGTCACCACGGCCACAACGTGGAGTACTAACACACTATACTACAACAGCATGAAGCTGAAGCACTATTAAATAACCTAATAGTTGTCCTCTGATTACTCTTTGGCTAATACTAATTAGTATTGGATACTAATTATTTAATTTATTTATATTAGATGCGAGCACTTTAAATTTTACTTACTGTAAAGCAAGACGTTTAAAGTGTACCAGTTTTAGATTTAATTATGTTAATTACAAAATGTCTTTTTTGTTTGAACTGGCGCGAGCTAAGCTTGCGTCGCAACAAGACAGAAAAATAACATATTTAATAAACTTTTGATGTGATTTTAAAATATAAGCTCCTAAATCACAAAGGTATGTATATGTTAGATAAAAAAGGCTTGCAAAGTTTTGTTTGAATTATTTTTTTAAAAGCTGGAATAAACTGCATGACTAAATGTCTATAATTTAAAAATACATTGTTCTAATACAAGGAATTTAAAATTAAAGTATAGTTAATAGTGATATATATAATTGTAATATTTATTGTTAAATAAAATAATTATAATCACGTTTTTCCTGCAGTATGCGAATCAAACTTTTTAATGTAAGTTTTCAAAGTTTAACGCACTCATTATGATATGCGTTGGTATTCGTATCAGAATCCTGTTTAAAATTATTGGCGCTCTTTTTTAATTTCTCGCTGGGTATCCTGAAGTAGCCGTTTGTAATCATATCGCTCACTCTGGACAACTCCAACTTTTTTGCATATAATTTAAGAGCCTGCAGTGTGACCCGCTTTTTTCTGCCCAGTTTATTGAAAGCTGTACCGACTTTTTTTTAGCGATTCTATTGTAATATCATTCAATACCAGAATGACGGCGGAAAACACGACCAATATAAAAAATGGGGAAGAGGGGCTTTGTGGCGTTAACATTAGTTGGAAGAAAAGGATAAAAGTAAAAAAGTACTGAGATTGAATTAGACATACAGTGTAGAGGAAATTTGCGTTTGGCACATGTCTTTGCTGTTTTTATAAAAAAAATTTAACACGGGTTTTTTTCAAAATGTTTACTTCATCCTATTTTATCCCATCTCATTCTGTGGTGCCCAACACACATTTCAAGCCACTATCTTCCCTTTTCAAGAATCAAGATTGCCCTCATGGCCACTATACACATTTCTGTTATTGCTGGCTGACATCAAGGAACACCATGATGTTTACAACGCTGCCCACACAGCGCTGCCCCCTTTTTCAGTTTAGTAAGTAATTTTTAAGACTTGAATATATCGATTTAGACCCACATTTTTATAGAGCACGACACCAGATATTCCCAATTTTAAAATATATTTTGTTTATTGGTGTATCCTTGTATTTGAAATAATAAAGTAAAGCCACATTAATTATATAAAAATGGTAGAGTATACATACTTTTGTAAATTGGTTTGCTATTGGCTTTACAAAAACACCAGAAAAACTGGGCCATAAAAACGAAAACAACAATTGCAATTGCGCTATCTTTGGTGGCATCGTGCAATTCCAAGCCACATAAAGAAACTTAGTCATTCGATTAAAAGAAATTAAAAAAGTGGGTCCTAAGTTTATTTTGCTGATATTGGCTAGCTGTTTTGTTGATTTTTACTATATATAATTAGTAATTCCTAAATCTAGCCCTAGCTAACGTTAAATAAATATTTTATGCTCAGTAAGCCTTGCCACATGCACACAGGTAATATTGTGTGGCTATTCCCACGCCATTTTGGAATATCCACTGCATTGCAGCCAATGTGACTTTAGGTTAAAATAAAAAATTAAGCATGTTTAAACATTGTCCTCAAATTAAATTGCCAATGTATTACAAGCAACTTTTTAAAATAAATATTTGCATCTATGTTCGCCTTTGTCTTGATTTTCTGTGTTTCATTATTTTTAATAATGACTGGTGCACCGCAATGCATTTAGTTGCCAATCTCGTTTAACTGGAAATATGTCCATGATTTATTGCTTTTTAATATCTGTTACAAGGCGACATTGTGTGCATTAAATTGTATTGCATGTTCTAAGATTAATGCACAGACAATAAAAATAGGGAGGTTCTTTGTAATCAATCGTGAATCAACAACAGGAATTGAAAACAAAATTGTTGAAAAAATGTCAAAGCAGCAGCAACAGCAGCAGTTTTTTTTACGAAACGAGAACAAAACAGTACTTATTTTTCTTTTTCTTTTTCTTTGTTTTCTTTTCGGTCATGTATTACTATTTACTTTCACCCCATTTATTGATTATTTATTTTCTAACACAGTTAAGCATGCGCAAGCAACGACCTAATTCCAGAGACGCATGGTGCTCTGCTTTTGAGTTTCAGACATAAAATCACTTTTGTTAAAATCAAAGTGCCCTCCGGGACGCCCTCTTCCGGGACAACGGATACCCACAAGTATTCCCCAAGCATTGGCCGTGCGACAAACCAATCCCAATTAGTAACACGGCGGCACCAACGCGCGAGAGGCGCGTTCAATTTAACTTAACGCCCACGTTCAGTCCTGAATCCAGCAACAAAAGCTATGACAATAATGATACTGACAGCCAGCTCACAATCAGCCAAGAATTTAGAGCTGCGAGGTACATTGCCCAAAGCAACAACAATAATAACAGTAGCCAGACAGAGCCCAGCACCGCGGAAAAGGCAAGGGCAGATACCAACGAGTACGCAAAAAACTAATGGTCCAGCGAGTTCCCGACGACTGCCTGCGCGAGCTCTTGGAGCTGGGCACACTTAACCGCATGCTGGAAGTGTACAGGCGCGAAATCGGCCAAGTGGCTATTGACAGCTACCGTCCCTTCCGCAGCGCCTACTTCCACAGCGTTGTAATTAGCCATCTGGCAAAGGTCAATCATTAGAGTTTGCCGAAGCCGCTCAGGTCTGCGAGTCAGCCGTGGTTCTAAACAACGCCGCTACCTCAGCTCGGCTTTTTGGCGGAAGCACAATGGAAACACCCAGCTTGCTGTGTTTTTAAATATTGGCGCGGCGCACACAGGACAGCCGCTAATTCCAATCTTGGGTGGCAACGAGGCAGTGCAGAACCAGAAATTGTGGCAGGATGCTGACTTGGCTTGCATGGACTACGCAATGGCCGCCGGCCACCAGATTGCAAATCTCAAGCTGCGCGCAGTGCAAGGTTTTCTCGCGCGCCATATTGAAGCAAAATGTCTGATTCGGCCCATATACTACTACATGTACAAGCGCTACGCTGACACACAGAGCACCGAATTACCCGTGGTGGATGAGGGCATGCAGTTTCAAATATACAGCACGGTGCTCGAGGTCATGGAGCGCTCATACGGAAGAGTTTTGCCGCTGCCATACGTCATGTACACCACGCTGTTTGCCATAGCCTGGACCAACGAGCAAATAGTCAACGGTATTGTCAAAACTGGTGGCTTGCCAACAGACGTTTGCTTATCCGTGCGTTTTGAGCCATCAGGAGAAAATATACCTGCCAACGATGCTGCATTGCTGCCAAAACCGCTGGGAGCCAAGGATCTTTTAGAAATTATTGACTGGGATTTTGCCGCTGTCATTGGCCGTTTGCTTGCGCACCGGTACCATGGCTTGGATAAAAGCGAGGCGGCAATGCGAGCCAAGCTTGGAGCGCTAGCGTTTGGAGTGGACACATCGCAGGACCAGCCGTATCCGCCCATTCTTCCACTGCAAGACATGCAATTTCACCAGTTTGTCCACCACTATGTGTCGATGATTTACACCAAGTGGCCCCATGGCTTTGTCTATATGGTCATTGATGAGGCTGTGTGTGCTTACAATGTTATTATCCAGTCCATCCGCGACCAACCGACCAGGGACACCAAGTAATTTGATTGTTTTATATTGTTTTACTGCGTTACGACAATAAAATCATTAACTAATAATATGTACGTGTGCACTATTCATTTTTTACATAATTGTATCTGTGCTCGCTGAGCCAGTCAGATACTCTTTCGAGAGTCCAGTGGTGCCGACCAAAAAATCAATGAAATATGAAATCCGCAGATAAAAAGAAACCATTTGTATGCTCCCGCAATCCACAGCGCTATCGACCAGCGATATCATACTGTTCAATGCGGTCAGCTTCAGCATGCCGCCGTCGTTGACCACAATAGCCGTGCCAGAGTCGCCGCTGCAAATGCTGCGACCGGGACTATTGTCGCCCAAGGAGCAAATCACTGGGCCATCAGAAGTCAGCGAGGATTTGTTTCCTCCATTACAGTTACCAACGCTGGTGATCAAGCCACGCAACTCCGTTCGGTCGATACTTTCAGACTCAGCCTTCCCCCAGCCCATTGCCAGCATGGGCTGCCCCACTACCAATGGTTTGTTGTATATAACTGCGCGCTGAGTGCTGATGTCAAATGTAAGCTCTGGTACTTCCACAACCGCAATATCGTAGTCCATGTCCAGAGAGCCTTTCACAAGCGACCTCGGATGCAATGTCACTTTTTTCGCGTGCACATACGCTTGGTTGTCTTTGTCCGTGGATTGGTGCCCAATGGTGATATCGGCGGTTGGACCATTTTTGCCCGGCGGAATAACGCAGTGGGCTGCTGTTACTATGTGCCGCGGAGATATGATTGTGCCGCCGCACATACCTGATACTTTTCCAATTTGGGTGCTTAGTGATACGACAAATGGAGCCATACTGCTCGGCACGACAAATCCTCCGTAGATGCGTTTGGAAAGATTGTTCATTGGAATTGCCAGGCCAGCTGCGCATCCCAGGATAAAAAACATTACTGCTATAACTAATACTATTTTTAAGAATGAGCCGTTGCGTGTATACATTGTTGGTAAATAAATAATATGGATAATGAAATAATGAAATGATGATGCAAAAAATTCAAAGATGTTTATATGATAAACATGTCTTTTTTGTTGTTGTTGCGGGAGCCATATGTCTGTATTTTATAGTCTGAGTGCAATGGCAGCCACTGTAATTATTCACTTGTGATATGCGCTTGCAAAAAAGACAAACATGTTATTTCTTTGACAATACGATTTGAGATTTAGAAAGGAAAA